TTTTTTTAAGCAACGATGTATTTTTATTACACCAGTGGATTAGTCTCATAATTCTGTGCATAAACGTATTAAGGTACAGTTATCAAAATGTGACCCTTAGAAATTAATCCGTATACACATGTGACGCTGCCGAAGTCACCATATTCAAAATAGCTCCTATCTTTAATCGTTCATAACATTGCTAAAAAGTAAGGTATTCAAATAAAAAAAAATGCATTTTATAGGGGATACAGAATACATTCATGACTCCTGATCGAAATTTCAAGATAACGTTAACCTTCTTTATTAAAAAATGTCAAATATCGCAAAAAAGCTATTTTTTAAGTATTAAACCTCAATTATCTTGGAAATCCGACGTGCTAGAATTTTTTCACTTGGGGCATTGTTTTCAGCATCCAAAAATCTATAAAAAAACACGTAGTCCGGTGCAAAGTAATTTTTTGCTGTAAACTAGTGTAATTATAATTAAGATATACATTAATATTATAAATGTAAAAAATATAAAAATAACTTATAATTCAAAAAATAGTTTTTATAATATTATATATATCAGCAATTCAGTTTAGAAATTTTTACCCACAACACAAAATACTATTTAACACCATCTTCAAAAAGATATCTCTAAATCTCTTGCTTCAAGGTCTCGAACAGTTAATAAGTGACTAGATTGTGTGTGAACATTCTTTATATCCAAGGGGGTGAATAATATATGTATAAGTATACTGATAAACACTTGAAACAAATTATGTAAGCCTTTAACTTGTAGACAGTATAGCTCAGAGACAGTTTAAGTCATAAAGTGTAAGATGCATATATGAAGAGAGAATAGGGAAAAATTGCTTGGGAAGGCTACTTTCATACATATTTGCATAAGTGGCTGCATATAAAATTTGATAGAGGGAACAGAAGGGGCACTTTTGAAACGTATAATCTTATCTTAGTTAAGGATATATTAAAGATGCGTTAGACGAATTACATGAAATACTATGTTATTAATGATTTTAGTTACCGTTATCTTTAACATAAATGTGTCTTAAGATTATAGTTTTAGAAAAGTAGAGCAAAGAATGTTTGAAAATAATGTACAGAACTTATTATTTTATAAGTTTATTTAGAAATATATAAAAATAAATTACATATAGCTACCACATATATACACATAAATATGCAGAGAGCATTTCTGTTATATAAACAAACTAAAGTTATATTTTTAAGAAATATTCTTACATTAAGTCGTTTTGTGTCCCAACAGTATTTCAAATGTTTTATCTCATTCCTTGCAAATCTCTAATAGCAATAAGAATTAACTTAATATGAGCGTTGGTTCTTGCAATCGCTTTCCGTAAATTCGCTATTTGTTGCTCAAGTAACGTGATCCGTATATTTATAACGATTAAAGCTTCATTCAAAGTGAATTCAATATAATGTCCTAAACCAACATCCAATAAGATCTTGGAAGCATCTGGAACATGTGCTTGAATAAAGAAATTATTTCCAATATCAACTTTGGTCTTGAAACCAGTTTTTTCAACGTTTGTATTTTGAAACGTCGTTATCACTGATTTCAATTGTAAAAATTCGGCGACGTCAGCATGTTTAGTGTCAAGCTTTTCGGCTAGTTTTGCAAGATCGGCTTTCAGCACGTCATTTATGAAGGTCTCAAATTGTAAGATCTTCTGTTGAATTTGTGGATCCATAATTAAGCTCTTGCACTACAAAATACGAAAAATGAGATTAGTTTACATATATGTATATAAAACGTAGTGGATGAAAAATTTAAATATTAAAATCAACTAATATGTTAATAATCAGCTGGTTAGCAAGGCACTTCTATTATGAAATCACACAACGAGTGCTTTGTTCATAAAATTCTTTGGCTGAAATTGAACCCAACATAAATAGTCTCCTGCATTGTTGTGTTCAATGAAAAATTTCTACCTTTTAAATTCTTCTTCAGTCCCCAAAGATATGAAAATCGCACGGCGACAAATCTGAACTACAGACAAGATGCTCCAATATTTTCCCACCGAAACTGTGCCATGTAATTTGCACATCTCTGGAGATTTGTACCCTGATTTTATAATTTTTAACAACAGTGTCGATATCATTATATTGTGGTTACATAGATAGTATACTTGGTAAAAAAAGCTGGACAACAATAATGTAACGATACTGAACTGTCGTTACAGAATAAGTATACTGAAGACGAATCTGAAAGGCAGAAAATTTCCGTTAGACACAGCAATGCAGGAGACTGTTTGCAGGTGGGTTTGATTCTAGTAGCCTAAGGAATTTTCTGAATAGAGCATCCATTGGTTTCACAATAAAAAAGTGCCTTACCAACTATGATGATTATTTAACAAGTTAGTTGATTCCAATATCTGAATTTTGTATCCGCTACATTTTATTTGACTGCTAATATGTATAAAGAATAGCTTGTTTATAAATAGATTTAAATAATATGGTGTTCGGAACGCAAAATATCCATGCGGTATACAATCGTGTAGAGGTCTAGAGTAAGGAATGAAGAAAACAAAGTATAAAAAAATATGTAATACATTAAACAAAAAAACGTCATCAAACATATCTCACTAGAAGAATAGGTTATGTTACATCTAACAATTATGCACACATGTTTTGTTTACATTTTGTTTTGTATATGATACCAATATCACTTACATTGTCGGATTTAGAATAAAATGTGCCAGAATCAAAGAAAATCAAACTATAAATCCTTTTAGTAAACACAACGGCATTTTTACACTATATTGTGACAATCTGACCATGCGTCGCATTATGCGAAATTTTGATCTAGCGGAATCATCAACAAACAACACGTTCAGTAATGGTGAAGCAACAGCTGCTAAGGAAGATTCCGATCAGATTCTAGTCCGTCAATTTTTTAGATAAAAAAAATATTTCTTTAAGACCCGGTTGCACCAACTTTACTGCGAAATTTAAAACTCTCTCTATCTCGTTTTAAAACCGAAAAGAGACAGAGACAAAAAGAGTTTTAAGCTTTGCTTAAAATTAAAGTAACTTGGTGCAACCGGACCTAAAAATCATTAATTCTTGTTGTATACATTTTCTACTTTTAATTATTCATTTCATATATCAATAATTTTTTATACCATGCATATAGTATAAAAATGCATCAAATATTAAGTGTTGAACTTAATTTCTGCTGTTTTTTCGTCTCCAAAATTGATTTGTTTCGAAAGGAAGATGAATGAATACCTTAATCAAAGTAATTTCCTCCATTTTCTACTACTTTTTCCCATCTCTCTAGCAACTGGGCAATCCCACGACGGTAGAACGCGGTGTCTTTCGATCCATTCATCCACCCATTTTTGGACTTCGTTGTGACTGGAGAAGTGTGTGTCCGTAAGTGTTGCATCGATCGGAAGCGATGGTAATCCGACGGTGCCAAGTCTGGAGAGTACGCTGGATGCGGGAGAACTTCCTATTAAAGCTCTAGAAGTGCCTGTTTCACGCTTTTCGCGACATGCGGTCGAGTGTTATCATACAACAAAATAATTTTGCGTCGATTATTGGCTACGTATGATTTTTTTTGCATCAATTCGTCACTCAATCGGCCTTTGGAGTAACATTTAACTGTTTCGACAAC